ACTTACAATCTGTCAGAGGAAATAGTAATCATCCAAATGTATAATTAAGTTTTATGATAAGTGGAATGAAAGAATTTGTGATTTTATGAAAGCTAATAATTTAAGTGAGGTTTGGGTGGGATGGAGAAATGCTTCCTTATGGGTTCCTAAGACCCAGCTAAGCTACAATTAGAAGGGAAACATGAAGCCAGCTAGTAAGTGGGACTAATTCATGGTGTAGATCTGAAATGTAGTGAGGAAGAAATGAGGGATAAGTCGCATATTCTTTTGTTCTCATACACTGGAACTTTGAGGACAGGCAAAAATATCTAAGATTCTCCAGTTACTGTATGATGAGTTTAAAACAAGTCTTATTTTGCTTTCACATGAGGTGCCCTCCTGAACGGAATCTGAGTCAGTGAGTCTGATTAGAAAATGGCTTGATTCAATGGGAGCCTCTTTTTGAGTTTTCCGTTTAACTTTTTTTAAATTTAAGAATGAAACCCTGCACATTATCTTGTATCATTTCATATTTCCTCAAATGTGTGATTAGAAATTCATTCATTTTTCTCATGTGAAATTAATTTGTGATTCTTTAAAGCTTGCTAAATGATGCATTGTTTGCTACTTAGTTATCTGTAACAATTTCCCCATTAGGGAAAAAGCTCTTTGAGTATATATCCTTCAGCATGTGACCAAATTCCAAATGTTTGGCGATTCTATATAGGAAGAAGATGACACTCACTGGAAATGATTTACAGCTTCTTGTCATTTGTGGTAAATTCTTGTGTAAATTACTCATCTTGGGCAAAATGAACAGTGACAGATATGCCCGGCTTAATTTTGATCAGTTATTTCCTAGAGCTTTTTATACCAAATTCCCCAGCATTTAAGTAGGAACAGAACTATGTTAATAACTTTTACAAGACAACTTCCCATTGTGAAAAGTGTTCATATTGGAACCTGGTACCTGGTTTCTGGGCTTCTGTATTTTCTTGATGTGTGTGTGTGTGTGTGTGTGTGTGTGTGTGTGTGTGTGTGTGTGTGTGTGTGTGTGTGTGTGTGTGTGTGTGTGTGTATTCCTTTATTTTCCTTGTTTTCAGGTTGGTTTGTAGATCTTGTGTTTGTTAGGAAATGTCAGGTGTTAAATAAAATAGCTAGAATTCAAAGAGCATATTGCAGAAACTAAAGAATAGACCCTATGGGCTGGGCATGTCTTTTTAAAAAAATTTTTTTAAATTTTTTTTATTGTGAAAATACCATACAGAGGGGTTACAATTACATGGGCAAGGTAATGAGTACATTTCTTATCAAGCATTGTTGCCTCCTCCTTTGTTTCCCCTTCCCATCCCTTCCCATCTCCCACCATCCCCCCCCCCCCCCAACATGTCTTTTTTTGGATATGTTTTCCTGTGTTTCACAAAAATAATTCAGTTGATGCTTAATAAACAATAAATAAATGAATATACTTGGAAGTGGTTATAGTTGGTCTAAGCAGATTTTCTGCAAACATAGGTACAGAAATCTCCCTTATACATTTTTTAATTGTTAAAGTCTTGAGAGTGCAGTTACAGTCTACCTTAATTTTAACATTACCTTGTTACTAACAATGACTTGAAGTATGATTCCTTTTTTGTGGGTCATATAGCTTTTCTGCAAATGTCCTGACATATTGTTTGCATTATAATTTTTATAACTATAAATAAAGGATGATAGTCTTTATTGCATCTCAATAATTGGGCCAACATCTTAGTGGGGTTTTTGGGGTAGGATTACCATTTGCTTTCCTCTTACTCATCAAATACTTTTTAAGTATTTATCTAATGTATTTTGGAATAGGGGAAAATGTATGTGCTTATAAAGTTTTTTCTTCTCTTTGTAGTGATGCCATGTGTTTGTGTTTACATGTTGTTTTGTTTACATGTTCTGCTTACATGTTTTTGGAGATTGATTGCATATGTTTGTGTTTACATGAATAGTTCGTAGATATTTCATATCAAACCAGACTTTTCCTGAAACTTGTGTTTTCTTATATTGTTTTTCTTCCTATGGATGGTTCACAGGATTGCACAGTAGGAAAAACAGGCAATTGGGTGATACAGATAGAACTCACTAGTCTGGTTGTTGCTACATTACTTAGGCTGTTGTTTTGTATTTAAAATGAAGTTAATGGTTTTCTTCCAATTAGTGTTTTGTTCTCTTAGATTGGAGAAACTATGCAATGAAAATCTACAGCTGATGTTCTGTCTAGTCTGCTATCATAACATCATTTATACCTAGGTTTAACTGATTAATGATTTTTTTCTTAAGTATAGAAATGTGTTATTTTAAAACAGAAGTCCTTTGGTTTCCATTGTTATCTTGGCTTTTTAAAAAAGTTGGTTTGTGGGCTGGGAAGTTGGTGCAGTGATAGAGTGCTTGCCTTGTATGCATGAGGCCCTGGGTTTGATTCCTTGACACCACACAAGCAGAAAAAAGCCGGAAGTGGTGCTGTGGCTCAAGTGGTAGGGCTCTAGCCTTGAGCTGAAGAGCTGAGGGACAGTGCCCAGGCCCAGAGTTCAGGCCCCATGACCACCAACAACAAAAAGTTGGTTTTTATTAAACAGAAGTAGGTTCTATTGTTGCATCTCCATACATACGTGTGTGTGTGTGTGTATGTGTGTGTGTATATATATATACACAATATGCCTCTTCTTAACCAATTCTTTTCTCAATAACTTAGTGTATATATTAATAATGTCTGACCTTTTGATGTGTCTGTTCTATGCCATAGTTCTGGTAAATCTTTAAGGTCTTATACCAATGGGAAGGGCAGGTTTCTCTTTGCCACTCTTTTCTAGAATGTTTAACAGGATTTTGTTTTTTGTCATCAATATTCATCACTTCTGTTTCTTCTATATCATCTTTGTCTTTCTTTCGGTTTAAAAAAAAGATTTCATATCTTTCCATAGTTTTCATTTTGCAGTCCCTAAAGCTTAATTTTTACATAGCCCCTTTCCTAAGATAATTTATCTAATGTAGTTCTTTTTGAGGCCTTACTGTCATCACAGACCAAATTTATATGACTCAACTTACCTTCACTATTCATTAATGTTACTAATTTGTCATTTGAAACTCCTAAGTCATAATTACTGCAGTCCTTTCTCTTTTTTAGCTCCAATTGTTTTCTTGTTTCCAGCTGATATTTCATGAAATGTCTCTTTTTCTCTTTCTCCTTTTCGTACATTCCAATGCTACAGTATTCTAGATCTCTGAGACTCCTATTTCACCCTTCCGCTTAAATTCATTTTGCATATGTCTGTGTACTCAACCGAATATAAAACTTTTTGTAAATACTTATATTAAAAACTGAGAGTCTCCTTCACTGATCCTCAAAGCAGGCTTCTCAGATCTGGCCATGCAAATGGGAATAACACCGCTCATCTCAGCCCCTGCTGTCTTTGTACTTCTGTTCTAATAGTGGGTGGGAGGCAGCAGGAGGACAGATGCATGCAAATAAGCAGGGTAACTTTGGTTCATGATAACAGCTATGATCTGATAAGAGCGTGGGGGTGCAGTGGGAGTATGGGTTTAGCTTGGCTCTCATGGGGACTTCCCTGAGTAAATTATAGATGACTCAAAACATGAAGGAGCCAAAACAGGGCATACTGGGAAAGAGAGTAGAAAGTAAGAAAATGCTAGAAAATACCTTAACCAATGGGAGGCTTACTCCTTAAAGTATTATATGTTGATAAGAACTCAGAGTACCATCAAAGTAGGGACCCCAGGGACCATAAGAAGGGCAAGGGAGAGTCATTCACAAGTGGATCTCTGCTACGTGTGAGATTCTTTGCTTGGTTCACTGATGCTTGGAGATCATTCATGCCCATAGGACAGGAGTGATGTAGTAAAAGAAAACTGATGATAGCATGGGAAAAAGAAAACTTTCCAAAAGATATATTGATTGGACTATGAAATAATGAGATTGAAAATGTTTGCACATTTGAGATTAAACCCCAAAATATATCCCTACATCTCAGGTCATTGAGCTCTGAGCATAAGGCACACAGGAGCCTTTGGGGTATATGATGTTGGGTGTATGACTGCTAGAGAGTGGCTGGATCAGACACTCAGCAGCTAGACATATAAAATGACTAACTGACATTAGGATCATTGGGACTGAGGGTAGGCAGTACAAAATAGCCTTGGGTTTAGTTCTTAAAACCATTTCGATAAATTTCTAGCTCGTGTGTAAATTTTGGATTTATGACTATTAAAACTTCCTCACTGCTTTCTGAACATTTGCATCATTGTGCAAACCATTATGTTAAAACTAACAAGTGTCCAACCCTTAAGATGACTGTTTTAATTCTTTACTTTTATCCCTTTTAAAACAGTTTAAAAATTCTTAATAGTTTATGATTCTTTTATTCCTCCTCAGAGAAAGCCAGGGCTTGGGATCTTGTTACCCTGTGTGATGTTGTGATAAAGGCATACCCACGAGACAAATGATGAAAGTGTCAAAACTGTTCATCCAATAATGAGAAATTAGCTACATAGCTTACATGCCAATTAAGCCTGGAGCAAAGTGTTTTAAATATTAGTTTTGTGTAGTTTACAGGAGTGACTTATCAGTGCCATAGGGCTGATATACATACTGATTTCTTGTTATTGGTATTGAAACAAATCTCATCCTTAAAATGACAGCTGTCTAGCAAACACTGTCCAATTCTGCAAGATTAAATCCTGTGTGTGTGGCTCCTGACTACCAACAACAGTCTTTGCTTTGCACCCTGTGCAAAGAATGATCATAGTAGGAAAAAAAGGGTTGCTCAAGACACTGTCCTAAAGTGGCTTTACCACCAGGGCCCTGAAGTTGAATTTCACTCACTGGTTACCAAAAAGTTACTTTTTTTTTTTTTTACAGCTAGCATAAGTTCCGGTTATATTTGAGGACAGTTCTTAAATGTTTATGCTATTTTAGTTCTTTATTTGACCATAATTTTATCTGTTAATATAGCCTCTTATTATTTCCTTCCTAGTTTACTTCAAAATGGTCAGCTTGAAATTGTGACAGGCGGCTGGGTTATGCCTGATGAAGCGACTCCACATTATTTTGCCTTAATTGACCAACTAATTGAAGGACATCAGTGGCTGGAAAAAAACTTAGGTATGTGTTTGTGTTTTCCGCTTGCCCATAAGCTGTTTGGGGAAGTTAAGTAGTGTCTGGTTCTTTGGTTTTCTTAGACATTAATTTCCCAGTACTGATAATTATTGGATACTTTATTATTCATTAATGTGTGATGTTTCTAAGGTGAGAGACTAAGTTACATAGATAAAAAATAAATTTTTCGTTTAGGGTCATCTATCATGTCTATTTTGTCTATTTTTATTAGATTTAGAAGTTTTTCTTGTAATTATGTTTTAGTTAAGGCAGGAAATTAGAGGCAAACACATAGACTAACTTAAGTTAAAAAGAGATATGGTGGGTTCAAATGAGGCTGGATCCAGAGAACTTATGTAATCTGCTTACTGTTTGGGCTTATCTTGTTTGTGCTTCAGGCTGTCTTCTGTACTTTCACACTGTGGTGAAAGGGACCTAGGTATCTGAGAAACTTCATGTTTCATATAATTGGCCCCCCACTATCACGTGCTTTATCTGACAGCCAATTACTGTGTCCACCAGAGGTATAGGAGCTGAAATCACAGCAGCCTCATCATTTTGGTGCTAGTGGCCTAATGGAAAGGAATTGTGCAGGGAGTACCAGTGTGAGAAAATTCTCCTAACAGTGAATGAGAAGGAGAATTCAAGTCTGATAAGATCAGATATTCACCTTAACTCATGAAAACTTAAGCTGAACTAAAGTAAAATCCTTTTGAAGCTGGGTGGCTCTGATGGCTCACCCTTGTAATCCTAGCTCCTCAGGAGGCTGAGATCTCAAGGATAGTGATTCAAAGTCAACCCAAGTAGAAAAGTCCACCAGACTTCATTTCCAATGAACCGGCAAAATAGCAGGGCTAGGGAATGGCTTGAGTGGCTCAAACACTGTCATGAGCTAGCAAGGCTAACATGAGGTTCTTGAGTAGCTCAAGTCCTGACCCCCCAATACTTCATACTAAAGTTTAATTTGATAGTTTTCATTACGTTAAGCACACATACTCTTTATTAATTCCTAGATAACTAGTTATTTAAATATATTTTCCATTAGAGTTAAAAGTCCCTTATCTAACATCTTTTTTTTTTCTTGTCACATAATTTGCCATTTAAACAAAATAGCAGGGATACTGCTGAGCACTCCCAATTTGACACACTTGCTTGCCTTTTGTCTTTCTGTTGCTATTTACTACAACCTGTGAGAGTGAGTTACAGATATTTTCCCCAGGTAGAGAGAAATACACTTCAGGTGTGAGACTGCTGTCCTCAAAAGTCTTATTAAGCCACGGTCCTCTTATCTATAGCCTCCCACGTAGCAGGTATTACAGTCCCCTACCACCATGCCCAGCTAGTTGATTGTGATGGGTGGTGGGGATGGGGGGGGGGAGGTCCTTTCTTGCCTGGGATGCCCTCACACTGCTGTGTTCTTGATCTCCACTCTGATTAGCTGGTATTACTTACATATGCAACCCACCACAGTTAGCAACTCAATATATAAATCTTTAAATTTTTAAAAAAATTATTATCATTTAGTAGTTATACAAAGGAGTTTCCATATAACGAAGTTTATGGATACAAAATACCTTGATCAGTATCAACCCTTTCTACATTCTCACCCTATTTACCCCTCCCCTCATTCTTCTTAATTTTGTAGGATATGCACTGGGTTTTTGTCTACATTTTCGCCCTCTTCTCCTCATTCATCTACCCCTTTTTCCCTGTCCCCAAATGTTTGTAACCACCATATGTATTTCCATCATCCCTAAAGTTCTGTCATCCATTTATCCCTCCTCCTACACCCAAATGCTCCTTGACTTCCATCCTGCCTGTTGGAAGACTTAATGTGGCTCTAATTATATATGCTCTTTTGAGTCATTTCTTTTGTTCAACATAATTTTTTCTTGTGACTTTATTGAGATATATTTTACATACTGTGAAATTCATCCATTTAAAACTCACTGAGTTTATCAACCACATTTTCCCTACTCATTTCCTTGCTAGCATTTGCTGGGTTGATTGAAAGACATTCTTACTGGAATGAAATAGAATCTGTGTTGTTTTGATTTGTATATTTCCTTTATGGCTAAGGATGGTGAACACTTCTTTATGTATTTGTTGTCATTTATACTTCTGTCCAGTGGATTCATCAGTTTACTATCTAGGTTATTTGTTCTTTGGGTATTTAATTTTTTTGGGCTTTGTGTATTCTGTATATTAATCCCATGAAAGAGTTCTGCTTCGAAAAAAAAAGTTGAATGAATTTTACTATATCCACAGACTGGTTGACCATCATTTTGATTATTTTTTGAGCTTTTTCCACATCCCCAAAAGAAACTTCATATCCAATCCTAGTGACCTTCAGGCTCCTCTGTTCCTGCCCCATCCCAGCTACCAATAAATACTCTGCCATTAGAATGTGGTCCTCTCTGGATATCTGGGGAGATTCATTCTACATCTTTCCTCAGACATCAGTATGCAAGTCCCTTAAATACAATGGCATGGCATTTGCATGTAACCTTTTCACATACATTTCTCCTTATACTTTGTCATCTCTGCATTACTTACAATATTGAACACAGTCAAAATGCTGTGTAAATAGTTTTTTAGGGAATAATGACTAGATAAAAAGGCCTATACAGTAATGCTGTTTCCCCCCCCCCCCCCCCCCCCCAATATTCCTGATCTGTGATTGAGGGCCACTGGTGTATGGGTTAACTATTCTGGACATTTTTCCTAAATGGAAGCATACTATGACTTTTTATGCCTGGCTTCTTTTTTTGGGTGGGGGGGGGGGGGGTCTGGTCATGGGGCCTAAACTCTGGGCATGGGCGCTGTCCCTCAGCTCTTCAGCTCAAGGCTAGCTCTCTACCACTTGAGCCACAGCGCCACTTCTGGCTTTTTTCTTTTTGGCTTATGTGGTGATGAGGAGTCAAACCCAGAGCCTCATGCATGCAAGGCAAGTGCTCTACCACTGAGCCACCTTCCCAGCCCCTGCCTGGCTTCTTTATTTGGTATATTATTTTGAAAGTTCTCCCATTTTGTAGTATCTATCAGTTCTTTATCCTTCTTTGTGACTCAGTAATATTTTGTTCAATATAAACCACACATCCCTTTTTTGTGGCTTACTAATACTTTGTTGCATGTAAATGAATTCCTTTTTTATGATTTAATAATACTTTGATATATATAAATACCACACTTATTTACCTATTCCTCGGTTGGCTGACATTTAGTTGTTTCTCTTTTCTGGTTACCATTATTCACTACTATACAAATTTGTGTAAATATTTTTGTATAGAGATGTGATTTCATTTTTCTTGTCTACCTACATATTTGTAGACTTGTTGGGTTATATGGTTATGTCATGGTTAGTATTTCTAGGAACAAATTTTTTTAAATCTCCATCATTTTCCCTCCTCTCCAACTGAGAATTCTTTCAATACACCTTCACTAACATAAGTTATTATCTGTCATTTTTATTATAAACATCCTATTGTATGTGAAATGTTGTATCATTGTGATTTTGATTTGCATCTGCTTAATGACTATTAATGTCAAAAATCCTTTCACATATGTTACTTACATATCTTATTTGGAGAAATGCTTATTCTAATTTATTGTCTTTATTTTAGTAAGGCTGTCTTTTTATTGTTGGCTTACAAGAATTGCTTCTAAAGCCAGGCATGGTGATTCATACCTCTAATTCCAGCACTTAGTTAATCCCAACCCAATATTTTATAACTTAGCTATTTTGAAGAGAGCCACAGTAAACCTAAGTGTGCAGATAATCTTTATTGTACACTGACTTTAATTTCTTTGGAATATTCCCCAGCTATACTGGGGCTAGAAGAATAAAGGAAGAGGCAAAAGGTACAAAAGAAAAAGACAGAAGACAAAAAGAAAAACAGAAAGATACAAAACAGGAAAAGGAGATGAGATGTAGAAAGGAGAAATCATACAATAAAATACAGAGAGACCGAAGGCCAAGAAAAATCAAACCAGTCCATAGTCTTCCTTGCTCAGAAGAGAGCAAATTCCTTCCCTCTGCACCCCTACTTTTTTTTTTCCTCTGAAATCTGACTTAAGACCAGAGGGGCTTTTTGTGGACTGAGCTCCATGATATCTTCTTCCCTGATATTAAATTCCTACATTAGGCTGCCCTCATATGAGACCAAGGACAACAATCCTTGCGGCATTCCTCCATACAGCAGAGGCATTCTGCCTCTTGGCATGGGGAATTCCTGAGTAATGGGTGCTTTCTACTAATCCTCCTGGCCTGGGGGAGTGCACAACACAGTCAATCCAAAGCCGTGGGCATTGTCTGGGCAAGGCCCACAATTTGATTGAGCCTGTGTGCCCTGACTGAGCCCGTGTGCCCTGACCTAAGCTCTCTGTCCTCTGTCCCCTGTTGTATTTCCATACAGTTGGTCTCTCCCATACACTAGGGCTTGAGTACAGCTCTGCTAGCATTTTCCCCCTTGGCCTTCCAATGTGGCATGTCTCCCATCTCCCACCCAAGGTCTCCATGATTCTGTCACAACCAGTTTACTGGATCCACACTAATTATTGGAGTGGTGGTTTGGGTAGCCAGTGGAAAGGGTAAGGATTTCAGGGTTTGGTCATATCAATAATTATAATACCTCTTATCAGATATAAGCCCCCTCCTCCCATCATCTGTGAAAATGGTAGGATGGAAATTCAGGGGGCCTCATTCTCCAGCATCTGCTTATGTGCTATGCAGTTCTCTCATCTTGAATATTTATTTATGTATTTATTTATTTCGGAGTGGAGCTTACACACAAATATTCCAGCTTTTTCTTGTAGCCCTACTTGCTGGGGGAGGTAGGGAGCTTCACCCTCCACTCTTTTGCTTAGTGCACTTTATAGGGTCCACTGTGTTCATTGTACAAATCTTGCCTTCTAAGCCACCCATTTCTACCTCTAGCTACCTGATGGAGATTCAGGTACCTGCTGCTCTCTAATCAGCCATCTTTCCTACCACTTTTGATGTGCAT